AAGCCCTCCGGACCCCGGGGGTGAGCCCAGCCCCCAGCCCCCTCTTCGCACTCTTTCGCACGGCATTAGATCTCTGAAACTCGGAGGGCAGCCTGCTCCTGGGGACGGCCTAGTGCGACAGGGGCCATGCCCAGTGGAGAGAGAAGGGTGGGCCAGCAGGTCCGGCCGTGGGGGGCGGGGACCCCGCCTCCACGAGGGACCAGCCCTAGACAAGCAGCATCTTTCCCCTTTTCTCCTCCCCGTGACGGTATCCCTCAGTTTTTGTGACCCAAATTTGCTGAGCCTCTTCGGTGACAGCCTGGAACGGAAAGGAGCTTAGGTCTGGGTGAGGCTGGAGAGGATGATGAAGAGATATTCCTGGAAAGGGGAGGGGCAGGTTCCGGCACAAAGGAAGAGTGAGGTGTCCTAGCAACTTTCCAAGAATTCCGAGGCCCCAGCGCCCCTGCTCAGAGCGGGCGCCTCCCTTCCAGAGGCCTCCTTCTCTCTCTCCCTCCTGTTTCATAATTGTGTCCACGGTGGGCCCTGTCCCACTGCACCTGATGAGTGAGTAGGAGTTAAGCCCCCGTCCCGAGAACGTCTAAAGTCTGTCCGGAGAACCTCACTGCCTCCAGGCGCTCAGGCTCCCCGGACATTGAGAAATTCTCAACATGACCACCAGGGGGCAGCCGCACGCAGAGCGACTGCCTCCGCATTTGGAGACTGGTAGACACACCCCAGTATCTCTGGAAGTATCTGTGATACCCGGCTTTACTGACCTCAAGTAGATTGACACACCAGTGAGCCTGAGGGACCAATTGCTCTAAATCTGACTCTCTTTTGTATTTGGATTTAGACTGGTTTTATGTATCCAATGCATCTTGCTTACTTGAAGAATTTACCACCCCTTATCAATCCATTCTTAGCTTTCTGTACATTTCTTTTGTCCTCAAGCCCTCATAGCCTTTGGTTACCTCCCTTAATCGGATTTAGTATTTATGTATCATTTGTGCCCATAGGGAAGTCATCTACTGATACGGATTTAAGATCAGGCGTCCTCTGGAGAGAACCACACACATTAATCTGCGCTCAGCACAGCCTTGCCTGGAGATACAAAGGTTGTGCCATCTGTAACAGTTTTCCCTGCCTGTCAGCTTGTTTCTAATTCTTGTTGTGGCTACTGTCGTGTTACCACAGTATCCTGAGGGGAGACTGAAGTTCAGAGCCAGGGTAATGACCATATTTCAAACCATATTCTTAGAACTTGCAATTTGGCTTGCTTTTGGCTCAGTCTGCCTTTTTCTTTTTCTTTCTTTCTTTCTCTCTCTTTTTTTTTTTTGGAATGGCCCAGGTAGTCTGCTGACCACCTTATGTCTTTCTAAGCAGACCTCTGGGTGTACAGTGCAGATGGTATTAGGGTCTTTTTTGAAAGTAAACTGTCTGATATTAGTAAGTGTATCCTATAAAAGATGATCAAGTTGAGTTAGTGTATAGAAAAGAATAAAATCAGAGCCCCGTCATTCCTTCCCCGCCTCCCAGGCCCCCAGGAGCCCTTGACCTGTCGGTGCAGCTGGAGGAGTGAGGGCTGGAAGTGATGCAAGCAGACCTCCTGCTGGCTTCCTTCTTCAGGCAACTGATGACCTTGGGTGTGTCCGTGGACCTCACTGAACCTCAGTTTTCTCAGCAGTTAAGTGACAGCCGTGGTCTAGTTAACCTTCAGAGAGCTTGCTCTCCAAGGCCGCGGTCCAGTGAATTAATTACACATGGCATAGCTCATCCAGTGCCTTTCGCCCAGCCAGGCCAGGTGACCCCAGGAAAGGTGAGGTGCCAGGACATTCTTGGTGTTGGCTTGTGGACCGCAGCCCATGCTCAGCCGTCAGTCTTGTAGGAGGCTCAATCTGTCTGCTCAAAGAGTAGGTCCACATCTCCTGGGCGGATTCCACAACGAATTCCAAGCGACTGCGGATCAGAATCAGCGTTGTGATGCCCTCCCTTACACTGACAGAGAGTGAGGGGCCTGGCATCTGAATAGGATGTCCTGGTGGTGCCAGAGGAAGCCAGCCCAATGCGGCGACCCCTCACAGGGCTGGGGTCTGAGGGTCCACTGGCCAGGACCACACCTGCGGGATTGCTCCGCCCGCCTCTGCCACCGTGGCCAGGCAGCCCTCCAGACGCAGGACCCTCTCCCTGACTCTGCTTTCTATCAAGTGTGGCCTGGGGCTGGCCCAGAGCTATTCTTTCTCTTTAAAGCATAGGTGGTTAAGTCAGTGGTCTTTGAGCAGAATTCAGTTCAAGGTCATATATTGTTTGGCCCAGACATTAAGAAAAAAATGGAACAAATTGCCAACATTTAAAAATCAGGGGATTTCAAATAAATATCCAGATTTCCAGCTTTTCTTAAAAACCCACAAGTCCATCACGACCGTGCCCAAATTCGCAGCTGGCTGGGGACGCCTGGGATTCAGCAGCAGCTGCAGCCTCTCCCTTAGACGGTCTGCCTCCAGCTCCACCTGGGGCTTTGCCACTTGCTTTCTGCCTGTAGGATCGGGGGTGTCGAGGGCAGAGTTCATCCACAGGCAATCTTACTTCCTTATTCCCAAGCCCCTGCAGCTGCCTCATCAGAGCCCCTCTAAGAACCCACATCCACTTTTCAAAAGTATCATAGTGATATTAACAAAACATACACCACAGATCATGATAAAAGACTCTGGTGTTTTAAAAAAAGATGTTATTAATATCTCAAAAGGCATGTTGTCTTATCTAGTGAATACATAAAACATTGCACACAAAATACTGAGATTCTAGCTGGAAAGCACTCAGAGAAGTACTTGGCACGTAGTAGACACTACAGCATGTTAAACTAAGTTTTTAAATATGGTAACAAGCATTTCAACACGTGAACATGTGAACACAAGAGGTTTGAGGAGTGCGGGGAAGTGAACTGAACGTCTGGTCCTCCAAGGACGGTGAGGACTAAAGCTCACGGGATCTCCCTGTACCTTGAAGGTGGCAGGAATCTCAGGGGGGCGAGTGAACCGGTGATAAAGAGCCAGTCTGTGTGCCCGGAATACCCCAGCGGCCTGCCGCTGTGACACGTTGCAGACCACGTGCGCTCTGGGTCCCTCTCCAAACCCGGCCGTCAGCCTGCTTTCCTTCACTAGGGGCCATCTGTGTCTGTCCCAGCAGGGAAGTCACATGGGGCCAGGAGATGCCAGCAGTCACAGGTGGGCTTAGAACCAAGAACAGATTTTCAGGCGGCCCAGGAACGTCCGAGATGGTGGGCAAAATGTTGTGTCTGTGTGCAACTTGGGAGCTGGGGGAGTGTCATTTGTTTTCATTAGATTTCCAAAGGGCTCTGACCCAAAGAATCACATGTCTCTAGGACTGTGGGAACCCCTGCCAGGCTTCTGCCCCAGAGATGGCCCATCAGGAACCCTGCCTCCAAGCCCGCAGAGGCACCCCTGTCTGTCATGTGAAGCAAGAACTGGAGGATGGCCAATGATGCTTACGTGCTGCTGTTAATTTATATTCTGTGCCGGTTTCTAACAAGGATGTTTTATTTAAGTATTCCACCCGCTTCAGGAATGCCCCAGCAGGATTGTGTTCAGGACGGTGCAGACGACTGGGGGCAGCCAGGGAAGAGGGCTGAGACCAAGGGTCCACGTCCTCCGTGGTTTCTCAGGACAAGCCAGGCTCATGAGGCCTCTTCCACTGCTGTGAGCAAGTCCCCTGGTACCGTCCACACCTACCCCTGAATCCCCTTCCCACCTCTCAGCAAGGAGGGGAGCTTCCAAGGGGACCTCTGTCTCGGGAGGAGAAGGGACTGGAGGAAAGTGCTGGTGGGGGTGGGGGTGGGGAGAGGCACTGACTGAGCTCCCCGTGGCTGCTGGAACAAAATAGCCCAACCTGAGTGGCTTCAAGCAATAGAAACTCTTCATGTTATGGTTCTGGGCACCAGAAATTTGAAACTGTGGTGTCATGGGGCCATGCTTCTTCTGAAAGCTGTCAGGGAGACTCCCTCCTGCCACCCCCCAGCTCCTAGTGGTAGCCATCAGCCCTTGGTGGTCCTTGATTGGCAGCTGCATCACTCCAGTCTCTGCCTAAATCGCCTCTTCTCGTCAGGACATCAGTCATATTGGGTTAGGGCCCACCCCTAGGACCTTACCTTCCTTGATCACAACTGCAAGGACCTTATTTCCAGAAAAGGTGGCACTCACAGGTACCGGGGTTAGGACTTGAAGGTATCTTTTGGGGGGAACACGTTTCAACCTCAACAGGCACCTCACCTTGTGCGCTGACATCAGCCCACACCCAGGCCTTCCCCTGGGCTCTTGAGGGCGGGAAGGGGGCAGCCCTCCCTCCCGCCATGATAACTGAGCCCCTTCCGCTTGGTTCACATTCTGAAGCGGGATTTTTTTTCCCCTGCATCTCAGTCCTGTAGGACGGAGATTAGGCTGTGTGAGTGGGAAGTGTGCGTGTGTGTCCTTGTGCATCTGTGTGTCTGTGTGCATGTGTGTGCCTGTGCGTGTGAGTGTGTGTCTGCGGGCGGGGGGAGGTGTGTGTGAGGAAGGGTGGGCATAAGGGAGGAGTGGGAGGCAGGAAGGCAGGAAGAGAACTGAGCCACAGGAGTGAGGATAGAAGTGAAAAGGGAGAGTAAGTCTTGTCCCGTAACCAGTGGGGAAGTGTGCTTGTGACAAAGATGGGAACATTATGTCTTTGGTCTTAGTTTCATAAGGTAGGTGTGTAAGTTAGGATATTGATTCTGGTACTGTTAAAGCCAACAGAACAGTGGGTTAAGGAAGATCGAAATTAGTGTCTCTTTCCTATAAAGCCTGAGCTGGTAGCTGCCCCATGGTGGACGCCCCATGTCATTGCCCAAGGACCTAGCCTCTTGCTGCTTTGCGCTCTGTGAATACACTGTCCTTTTCCAGAGCCAGGGCTGGCTCACACCTCACCCAGTCCCACTGGGAAGAGAGGAAGGGGGGTCGAGGAACATCCTTTCTTTCTCAAGGATCACTCGGAAACTGTGCACATCACTCCAGTTCTACCGGCCAGAACTTTCTCACGTGACCTCGCCAGCTGCAAGGGAGTCTGGGAGACACAGCTCTTAGTCTCAGAGGCCACGGCCTAGGGATGCTGCTGGAATTGACAAGGCAGACACAGACACCGGAGAACCGCTGATAGTCGGTTAGAGGACGAATGTAATTTCTAGAAATATAGTGTTATTAATCCACCCCTCACCCCTTACAATAGAAAAAAAAACAATTACATCCATATGATAAAGAGTATAAGGACCGTGTGATTAGAAAAACCAGATCATCAGGGAGACTCGGTCTAGTTTAAACCAGTTGTGGCGGGTCACAACGAAGGCTTCCTCTCGGGAAGGTATGCACTGGGTCGTTCGGCAGCCAGCTGGTTTTCAACGACATAGCACGCCCTGCAGCTCTCCAGAATCCGCTCCTGGAAGTACGCCTTGTCCTTCTCCTGCCAGGCGTCAGACTCGATGTACACGTTGAATGGGTCTCGGGAGTGCTCCAGTTTCTTGGAGCGGATGTAACTCAGCATGATGCCCAGCGTGAAGAAGCCGAAAAAGCCAAGCACCATGAGGATGTAGAGGGCGGCCAGCCTGCTGTCATCATGGCCGGGGGCCCTGCGGGCCAGGCCGGATGAATTGCTGCCCTGTTGAACTGTCCCCTGCCACAGCGTGGTCAGAAAGGGCGTCACGGCTGTGGCATTGGGCAGGATCATCCTGGCCTTCAGGGTTTCAGTGCTGGACAGGGAGCTCCCCCAGGAAAACCTTCTAAAAGAAAAGCGCAACCTTAAGTCAGAAAATATGTATTGTCCTTCCCCCTCACGCAGACACACATGCACACACACATGGGCACACAATTTAAAAAAAAATCTCAATGAGAGAGGTACCCTACCAGACACATCAGTCATGGTGTGTGCCCCCGTGGACCTGCACAGTCTCCTCTCTTGATCGATCAGCTGATCAGCTGATTCACCTTTATTTCTGTTCCCCACTCCCAGCCCTTAATTCCACAGGTGATCACCAGAACGAGCTCCCTTAATACACACATTGTGCTGAATGGGTGCATTTCAGTGTATGTGCTGTGGACCAAACTGTGTCCTCCCCCAATTCACGTGTTCAAGCCCTAACCCCTACTGTGACGTGCCTGGAGGCAGGGTCTTTAGGAGGTAATTAAGGTTACATGAGGCCCGAAAGGTAAAGCCTTAATCTGAGAGGACCGTGGCCTTAGAAGAAGAGAGAGACCCTTGGTCTGGGTCCCTGTCTGGCACTGGGACTTTTAGAAGCTTCCCAAGTGATCTTACTTGGTAGCCTCAACTTAGAACCACAGAGCCATGGTCTTGACCCTCAGGAAATAGACCAGTCAGTCTTTTGCGCCGCAAGGGAACCGGAAGAACTTTGAAGAAGAGAAGTAATAGTTTCATAGCATAATTTTCAAATCTTGTTTGTTTTTCAGATTTTATTTTTCAGTCTTGCACATCCCTGATGTAATGTGAAGAGAAGGTGCAGAGAGAAATTCTCAAGCCACCCCCGTGACCTCAGCTCCCCCGACCCTAGCTCACGCTGGCACCCTCAGTTTTGATGAGCATGTCGGAGCTTCATACTGGACCAGAAAAGCCAAGTTAATGAACGGCCTTTCACATAACAACTCTGCATTTTTAAAGAAAAATCTTTTTCTTACTTTACACTTAATTGATTATATTGCTTTTGCTAAATGCCTTCTGTGCCCCAAGGCCTGCATGCTGGGTCACGTGATATTTTTGCCAAATGAGCCACAAAATGAGTTTGGCAACAGCCTGTAATGGTCAGCACGGTGTAAATGACACAGGACTCAATCTACACGAACACTGGGGGCTTAACTTTCGTTCTCCAATTTCACATCCATTATAATGCCAAAGCATTGCCCCCTCCAAACTCAAATGGGTTTGGAGACCAGCTGATCCAACAGTCTTAACTTGGTAGACAACTGAGTCCCCTGGAGGTGAGCTGACTTGCCCAAGGTCATGACTCCTATCAAAATACATCTAAATGTTAATCTTTTAGCCATGGACTCACATTTTATTAACATAGAAAAGGGAATTCCCAGGACCTTGCAGAGAGAAGGCAGATTATTTGGGCTCAAATGAACGGAGGAGCTGGCCACTTGTATCAGATAAAACTGGGTCTACCCACCTAGGGGCTGGTTTCTGACCTAAATCTGCCGTCAGAGGACCCCTCTCCCCAACCGGGGAGAATCACAGCTTTTCGTAGCTTCCAGGATGAATAGGGAGCTGAAGGAGGCAGAAACAGCAGGAACCAGGAAGGTTCAGCTCCAAACACAACCAGTTTGATGCTCAGAAAGAAGGGGTGGGGTGTTCTAGAAGTTTCTGCTTCTGCCTGTTTGAGCCTTCATGAGACATAGACACTGCTCCTAATCAAAGTTAGTGTAATTTTTTTTTCTTTAAAGTTTAAACCCAGAGCTGCTGGCCTACTGAGAACCATTCAGAATCTGGGGCTCTGGGCAGCTGAGCTGAGCTGAACAGCCACAAATGGAGGCCAACTGGGCCTCCAGTGCCCCGGGATTCTGCAAACACCCCCGTGCACCCAGAGGAGGGGGGCAGTGGGTGATGTCACCCCATTCCCGGCCCACACTGCCCTCCTGCATTTCCCTACGTGTTCCAGCTCCGGCTCCTATCAGTGCTGATAAGAGCCTGGAGGCTTTTAGAACAGATTTCCTAGTACTGCACCCCCCTCCCCGTTCTTTCTATGTGCTTACAGAAAGGGGAAGGCTTTTGTGGCTGACTCCAGCCTCTCTTTTGAGAGGGAAAGATTCTGGGGGCAAGTCGGGGAAAGCAGAATGTCTGATCCTCAGCTCAAGGATCTGAGTTCCAGCCCTGGCTTAGCCCTAGACAAGCCACGGGGCTCTCTGGGACCTGAGCTCACTTACCCAGGTAGGATGGGGACGACATGCCTGTCATTCTTAACAGCATTCCTTAAGTATCCCTGAAAGAGCATCCAGTCTTGAAGCAGAATTGCAGTAGGAACAATTAGGGATAAGCTTAATTTGGGTGAATATAATCTTACTGTCAAAAATTCTATGAGCCAATTTTCTTTGGAAATAACTGTCAACTGTCTTCATCTTTATCACAGCACTAGGTCCAAATTCTGGAGATGTATTTACCTCCTAGCAGAGAAGAAGCCAGTGGGACCCAGACCCTCCCAGGCAGGCAGCTGCCTTTGCCTTGGGCTTCTCACCTTCCTCTGTCCCGAGAGGGGAGTCACTAGGTGGCGGGGCCTCCAAAAATCAGGGTGAAACTGGTGCAGAAGCACAGCATCTGGCTGTCCTCACAGATCTGAAAAGGGCTTTCTGTCGCCTCCCTGCTGGATGTGGGATGTGGCTCTTGAGTCTGGTCACAGGACGAAGAACTTCCCAGACCTTTCTGCATGTGACAGAGAGGAGCTTTGGGATGTGAAGGACAGAAATGTGAACCAGGGAGCTGAGGAAAGGGACCTGGTCAAACTCAACATAGGAAAAAGTACAAGCATGTTGGCGTGGAGGGTTTCCAGACTCCAGCAGGGTAGCTGAAGTCCCACAGAAGGAAGAAACTCACCTTCAGCAAATTAAATGAATTTGGGGAGCCTCAGTTTCCTCATCTGAAAACTGGGAAAAATGGAACCTCCCCTGACTATACCACAGGGTTTGGGGAGGCATGGAATAAGCCCACAACTTCCGTATCTCTTGCTTTTGATGCTTTCTCTGCAAGAGAGGCACAACCACCATGTTTGCTTGCTAAAATCCTACTGGTCTTCCAAAAGCAGGCTCCTATGCCAACCTGTATATGAAGCCCCAACCAGATGTCCCCTCCCCTCCTTTGAGCCGCTCATATCATCTGTGCGCTTGTCTCTACACTTCCTTCCAGAAGCTCAAGAAGTGGTGTTTTGCTCACCTTGTCCCCACTCCAGCACCCAGAATGATTCCATAAGGGCTTGCTGAGTTGAACAGGGATGCAAAGCATTAAATTCAATTCAACTACAATGTGACTGTGAGAGCAAATAATCAATAAAGTGTAAGACGCTCTGGAAAGAGCTTAGTGGGTAACCAAATGAAAACCTCTGTAATGTAGTCTGTTTTTGTATAATGAAATTTAAATTATTTTCATGTTTATTTTATTAGCATTATTTATTTTGTATATTAAAATTTATTCTATTAATATAGTTATATATGTCTGTAAGCCACCTTATTTCTAAAAAGGTTTAAGGCCATCAGTAATTGTTAATAATACATCATAGTTTTCATCCCTCCTCCCTATTCATCACCCTTATCTTGTCCCTTTTTCCAGAGTACTTACCACCTGCTAATATAGTGTAGTTTTCTTGTTTATTATGTTCATTTTTTATTGTTTGTCTTCCCAAACAATAAGCTTCTGTACGCTATTCAGGGCAGAGATCTTTGCCTGGGCAGTTCCTATGTATCCCAGAGACCAGAACGGTGTCTGGCATATGGTAGCAGCACAGTAAGTATTCACAAGACGCAGACATGCATGCGTGAATGAGCAAATGTCCCATTCAACCACCAGAAGCACGAACCACACAGAAACTGTCTTACCAGCTCCACCTTCAGAGACTTAAGATGACAGGAGTGAGTCTCCTTTGATGTCCTCACAGTGCGCTTTGTTTTCAAAACAATCCACTTCTAATAACCTGTCCAAAACAAGACATATCGGAACTGAATATTCTGGACACTGAGAATGCCTTCCTCAGACCCGTCCTCAGCTCATCTCTGACGGGAGCAGAACACCGAGCAGAGCAAGCAGAGGGGGTGGCCGCTCCCCCACCCCGGTTAGAAGCCCACAGATGAGAATCAAGGAACTTCTTGACAATTCACTCCTCACACATGAGTTAAAGCTGCTGTGTGATCCCGGCAAAGTTCCCCACCGCTGAGACCGTTAAGTGACAGCTGTGGTTACTGACAAGGCCCTTCTTTAATGGAGCTAGAAGCTCCTTCTCAACCTAAAAGTGGACTCAGGTCACAAATAGCAGTCTGGAAAAGGGGGCGGAGGGGGAGGGTGTAACATGTGATAGACTCCCACATGGCACATGACTGCTACTGGCTCAGCTTTCTTCCAAAAGTTCCACACTTTCCCCAATTGCTGCAATCGAGATGAGATACCAGCAATGTGCTCCGCGTCCCATGCCTCTTCCCCGGGGGAGATGCCAAGGCCCAAGAGCCTTTCTTGTCCCCCGACTCCCGCAAAAAAAAAAAAAAGGCCATGTGTGTATGCAAGCATTGCCCGAATTGGAGGTCTCTGAAACCAGGTGGGGACTGGGATCCTGGGCGAGGGGAGGGAGGTTTAGTTTTCTTTGGATGATTTTAGGTATTTCCCAGATTTTCTACAAGAACGACTGTAATTTAATCACAATCGGGAAATGTCGTTGTTTGGGGGCATGAGTTCTAGGCGCGTGAAGAGGGCAGAGGGAAAGGAGGCTTCAGGGCGAGCCATCTATTCCGTCGCCTCCGGCCTGGGGGCTCCCACTGTGGCCCGGGGGCTGGGACCGGGTCCCCGGAGCCCCCTCAGGGTCGCCAGACTGGGGCGCCGCAGGCCGAGCGAGGAGCCGGGAGGCAGGACCCCTTGACTTACCGGGGCCGGGGCGCCGAGGGAGCCGGGAGCGCAGCGCAGTCCACGCCGGCCGAGCGCAGGGCGCCGACAGCCGCGCCCCGGGCGGCGCGCTCCGGGGGCCAGTGCGCAGGGGTGAGGGGGGCGGG